CTCAAATCTGAACGGCAACACGCCCATGTCATTGTATCGTAGAATATAGATGACCAACAAACACACGACATATCTCATCAACCAAGTGTAAAAGCAGAGTAATTTACACCAAAGATAATAACATTCAAATAGTAACTTGAAACTAGAAATGCCTTTATTCGTGCAAGTCAATTTAACAATTACTCTCTCCTTTACACTTGGCTTATCCTCACTAAACTGACCATTGATATTCGTCCTTTCAAACGAACTGATACTACCATAGTCATTGCACAAGATACTTGAGTTGATGGGTGTCTGTTTCATTGTGGATGACAGCACCAACGACGACTGATTGATATCAGTTGATGAAGTTAGCGGTGGATCAATGATTGCGTTTTACCCTCAGACTGCTCTATTCTAGGGGTGAGATTCAATATACTGGCGAACTTGCTCATAGATTGATTGACACTAGTATTTACCAGTTTCAGGATATCATCAAACGTTGGCTCGATACCCTCATCCTCCATACGGGAGCTCATCTTCACCCACTTCCTTTGCAGTCGAGTAGGTAGACGTCTTGCTATTACTTCTAGTATAAAACTCGAGTTGAGGTCACTCATGCGATTCATCGAAATCATTCCATTCTTGTAAATTAGCAAATTATCTAAAAACTCAGTGAGTGCCTGGGAGTCATCCTGTAACTGACCACCATTACCCTTAACAGCCTCGAATAATTTCCCTGCAACCATCGAAGGTCTTCCAAACCTTTGACGTAATATGCTCATAGCCTCATCGTAGCCCTCTTTTGGCTTCATAAACTTACAGCACTGTATAGCTCTTGCAGCATCTCCAGTGCAATATCTCATCAAATACATTAACTTCAATTCATCATTTAATAATAAACCACTCAACATGATCTCAAACTCCTTTACAAATTGTAAATAATCAGCCGGGTTTCCATCGAAACACCGTGGTTCAAACTTAGGGAGTTTGATGTTCCTATTATCCCTGAACGGCGAAACAGTAACATCAACCATGTCATGCTTAACATCAGACACATCGTTACAATTAACAGACAAGTCACAATGACTTACTTTCCCGTTTGCATCCAAGACACTCTGTCCCTTCTTTGACCCAGGCATTGTTGAACTTGACCCAATTCCAAAAACGTTCCAGATATTGCTTGTTCAAAGAGGACTTGACCGGCACCAGGAGAGATGAACGGTGACTATTCAAACTTTCACCAACTGTTTGAATCCACCAAAGTCTGTTTCTACCATCAGAAGCTGTCAGTCACGTCTCATAAACCGTTAATGCCCAGCTCTTGCTACGCTCGAGCCCACGCTGTTCCTTGCAGTTTTTCAGAAACGCTTAGTAATAACGGACGAAAAACCAAAACACCGATTGGCCGCTTGGGAATTCTTTATTGTTACACCGACGTATAAAAAATATTTCTATTAAGGTCTGTGAACAAATATTACAATAATAAATCATAAGATTACTTCTGATGGCTTGCTACTGACTTCTTTCTGAACAGCGACCGATGAGACGATGACTGTCGTATTGATGCCTCCGCGAAAATTGGGGAAGTTGATTTGAGCAAACAACCAAGAATTGATCGTTCAATCTTCAACTTCATTGACACAAAGCATTAGTGAAACAATCTCGGAGAAAAATGGCACTCTAATTACCTCCCAGTATATACGACTTGATCGCTGGATAGAGCATTATGAGAAGCAGTTTAATTTGCCCACAGCCACGCTCGACCTTCCGAGCATCCAACACCTTCCTGAATGTGTTATAGACACAGGTCCTCCATCCTTAACTGAGGTTACTAAAGCTGTCACCAATCTGAAACTAGGCAAAGCAGCGGGACCTGATGGAATGACTCCAGAGGTATTTAAGTACGGTGGAAACAGCTTACTGTCTGCATTAACTGAGGTACTAGGCAGCGTCTGAGAATCAGAAGAAGTCCCATCGGGTTGGTGTAAGTCACTGACTATCCCCATATACAAGAAGGGAGACAAGTCTTCCTGTGATAATCACAGAGGGATTAGCTTGACTAATATAGTATCTAAAGTCTTAGGCTCAATAATCATGCGTAGACTAAGTGGTGCTCGGGAGGCACAAACACGTGAGAGCCAGGCAGGATTTAGACCAGGAAGAGGGTGTATTGATCATATCTTCACCCTCCGACAGATTCTAGAACATAGTCATTCCTACCGGCGTCCAACAGTCATTATATTTCTTGACCTAAAGGCAGCATTCGACTCTGTCGATCGGGAAGTTCTCTGGAGATGCTTGGCTGTAAAGGGAATTCCAAGAAAATATATTGCACTGATTAAGGCACTCTACTCGTACTCATACAGCCAGGTGAGGGCTTACGGCGAGCTGTCATCTGAACTGATGACGACCAGTGGTGTCCGTCAAGGATGCCCATTATCTCCTTTTCTATTCAACTTCATCATAGATGTGTTAATGGACTTAACCCTAGGTGACTTCAGCGACTCAGGGATTGACTTGCTACCGGGGAATAATCTCGTTGACTTGGAATATGCAGACGATATAGTCCTTCTAAGCGAAGACGCTGATGAAATGTAGAGTCTTCTAAACACCTTGAGCAGCAATCTACGAATGTTTGGCATGCGATTCGCTCCCGCCAAATGCAAGATGATGTTACAGGACAGGACTATATCGACGCCTAGTTTAAAAATAGGAAGTGAAATGGTAGAGCACGTTGACCGCTTCACTTATTTGGGAAGTACCATCAGCCAGTGCCAACGGGCTGATCTCTGACGAAATCTCAGCACGAATACAAGGGGCTCGTTTCGCATTTGTTAGTTTACGCCGACTCTGGCGTAGACGAGATGTTCGACTATCGACCAAAGGGCGGGTGTACTGCTCATCAGTCCGCTCCGTCCTCCTTTATGGATGTGAGACCTGGCCACTGAGAGTGGAAGACATGAAAAGACTAGCTGCCTTTGATCATAGGTGCCTGCGTTCTATTTCCCGTGTAAAGTGGCATAATAAGGTGAGCAACATGGAGGTTAGGCGTAGAGTTCTAGGTAAACAGGGGAAATCAATCGACGAAGTCGTGAAGCTACAAAGACTGAGATGGTTAGGACATGTGTTACGTATGCCAAGTCATCGCCTTCCTCGACGAGCAATGTTAGCGGATATAGGGTCAGGCTGGAAAAAAGAGCACGTTGACCGCTTCACTTATTTGGGAAGTACCATCAGCCCCAACGGGCTGATCTCTGACGAAATCTCAGCACGAATACAAGGGGCTCGTTTCGCATTTGTTAGTTTACGCCGACTCTGGCGTAGACGAGATGTTCGACTATCGACCAAAGGGCGGGTGTACTGCTCATCAGTCCGCTCCGTCCTCCTTTATGGATGGCCGTGAGACCTGGCCACTGAGAGTGGAAGACATGAAAAGACTAGCTGCCTTTGATCATAGGTGCCTGCGTTCTATTTCCCGTGTAAAGTGGCATAATAAGGTGAGCAACATGGAGGTTAGGCGTAGAGTTCTAGGTAAACAGGGGAAATCAATCGACGAAGTCGTGAAGCTACAAAGACTGAGATGGTTAGGACATGTGTTACGTATGCCAAGTCATCGCCTCCCTCGACGAGCTATGTTAGAGGATATAGGGTCAGGCTGGAGAAAAGCTAGCGGCGGTCAAACAAAAACTTGGCATCAGTCAATGAAATCCACAACAGTTGGTCTAAGCCACGTAGGAAGGTGTAGACTTCCAGGCTGGGGTCCTCGGGACGGCAAAAATCTATGGTTGGAAACAATTGGTGACATGGCTCAAAATCGTTCTCAGTGGTGCAGATGCATCCACTCCCTGTGACTTATGATCTCCAATGAAACTGTTTTGTTCTTCGTTATTACTCCTCCTTTGTCTCACCCGTCTGCTCACTGTCTCTATTATGCTTTTCTTGTACTTTCTTCTCTTGCTTCACGTGCTACACGGAATGTGGCGACTTGAACTTCCGCACATTTGTGCAAAGTTCTATGTCGAAAACAGACAGACAGACAGCTAGCAGGGAGATTTTGGGCAAAGTTTACTTGAAATGACCTCCTGCCACTCTTGACTTGTGTCGCATCTATTCATCATTATTATTATATTCATTCCTATCTATGCAGTACACGCCAGTTGTACAGGTATGGCTACGTAGGTTCCACGTAGGCATCGTGATCAGTCTGACTCTAGGAGAGTCACCAAGTAGACTAAGCCCTCTGCTTTGATTGCAGAATATGCTGAGTCCCTGTCTTCAACCACGACGATGGTTTCCTAGGCATCCGAGATTGTTGTGTGGATAATCCCTTTTGTCAATTCCTAATATCAAGGAAATCTAGGGAAAACTCCTAGCAAACTTTTCTGCGTCTCAAATGGACTATAAGCTCCTGGACTTATGTTTGGGGTCATTAGGGAGGAATTGTAAGAACGGTAGAAAAGGAATATGAAAACATTTCGGTTTTCACGATAAAAATGTGTTCTTCGTCGTTTTGTAGAGTGTGAGGAAGTCAAAATTAGGGAATAAATCCAGGCGAACCGTTTCCATGGTATCCTAGTCCACTCGTCAAATCATCCACAGTAATTTATATCCCTAAACCTACACCTCTCGACTTAAGTTGGCTGTCTATAGCAAGAATTTTGATGACCTTCATCAGTATTGAAGTACGTAGGTGCATGCATTTTAATGTAAATTTATATGTTTATATGAAAAAATAAATTATTATTATTAAATGGAAACATAACTGACATCCATTCGGAAATTTTACTAGAATCCGATAACTGACGGAATTTAACGCAAACATAGAGGGTCAATGGCCCACAGGAATTACCCCAGAGAAGGCAGTCAGTACAGAAGACGTTCAATAGACAGTTTTGTGTACTTGTGCAGAAATCCATCACCATATTAAAGCTGGTGAAATGGACGCCAAATATTTGCGATACAGTCATGAGAATAACTCTTCGTATCTTTCAAAAATTTGTTCGTGATAATCATAATTCATGCTTTTGAAATCGAATCATGTAAGTTGTAGACATGGATTCTCACACTTGATGCACTTTTGTATCATTGTTGTTTAGCTAAGGCACATATCACATCAAATATCTTCGAGCGGTCGGTTGGTTGGTTGGTTTTGGTTTGAGTTTTACCGATGGAAGAGTCTCCTGCCTATTCAAGTACGTCGAAAGGCTTTAACAAACGGGCTGTCAGGGAGCTAGACTTAGAAACACCACACATCCCACTGGCTGGAAGTGGTATCAAGAAAAAGAAGACAGTGACCGTGCCAGATCTTTTCAACAGTTGAGGTAAGTACTTACAATATCATATCACTGATTCAGATTTATTGGTTGGAGCCTATGTTAATCCTCTTCTAGTAGATTTCTGTGGTTGTCCAAACCCTTCTTGAACGAATCAGTTGAGGTTTCAGACACCACTTCTTTTCCGCTACCGCGTGAACTTTGAAAAGGGAGTCCTCCTTTATGGTTGTGAGACCTGGCCACTGAGAGTGGAAGACACGAAAAGACTACCTGTCTTTGATCATAGGTGCCTGCGTTCTATTTCCCGTGTAAAGTGGCATAATAAGGTGAGCAACATGGAGGTTAGGCGTAGAGTTCTAGGTAAACAGGGGAAATCAATCGACGAAGTCGTGAAGCTACAAAGACTGAGATGGTTAGGACATGTGTTACGTATGCCAAGTCATCGCCTCCCTCGACGAGCAATGTTAGCGGATATAGGGTCAGGCTGGAAAAAAGCTAGCGGCGGTCAAACAAAAACTTGGCATCAGTCAATGAAATCCACAACAGTTGGTCTTAGCCACGTAGGAAGGTGTAGACTCCCAGGCTGGGGTCCTCGGGACGGTAAAAACAAATGGTTGGAAACAATTGGTGACATGGCTCAAAATCGTTCTCAGTGGCGCAGATGCATCCACTCCCTGTGACTTATGATCTTCAATGAAATTGTTTTGTATTTCTTTATTACTCCTTTTCTCACACCTCTCCTCACTGTTTCTATTATGCTTTTCTTGTACTTTCTTCTCTTGCTTCGCGTGCTACACGGAATGTGGCGACTTGAATTTCCGCACATTTGTGCAAGTTCTATGTCGAAAACAGACAGACAGAAGCAGGCTTAGTGGTTTGCCTCTGCCTACTCGACTAACTGATACTATTGTTTAGTTGCAGTATTTCATCATAAGCTGACATCGGTTAGAGAACCAGTGGAAAACCTGGGAGTACTGGACAGCTGTTTTGTCCTATCTTGGGTCTCTTCATCAGTTCGCACTCACTGGGCTCGAACCCAGGACCTTCCGCTTACAAAGCGAGCTTGTGCGCCAATAAGCCACTTGGATCCGATCGAGTGGCCCATGAATTCGAACTTCTGCCATTCCACGACGTGTGTTTTAACCCCGGTGAGTGCATACCCATGAAGAGTCCCGAATTGGGACGAAACGGCTGTCCAGTACTCTCAGGTTTTCCAATAGTTCTCTAATCGATGTCAGCTTATGATTAAATCCTGTAACCGATCAATCAAGTCCCTACAAACCAATACTTGAGTGACACTATTGTTGCTAGACGCTTAAATTTGTGTAAGTCCGTTGCCTATGCTCATCTTGTCGGAGACTGAACGGCCTTTTTCATTCACAACTTTCTCTTTGTATATCTGGAAGTAAAACTAGAAGTAATTTCATTAGAAATTATGCTCATATAGTTAAATATAAAAATTCAACCGCACCTGATTTAGAATGGATATTGTGTGGTGGGACGAATTTTGGAAAACAGCCAATAAACTCACTATTAATATTCATTTTTGTTTTATTTTTAATTACAGCTTGATTCCACACTGTATTGTTGGTACAAGTATGGAATTTTCAGCATGGATATCGGTAGCCCAAATTTTGCAGGTAGACCATAGATATCAGGTGTGCGTCGACAGGGGATCGAACCTCGGACCATGTGCATGGTCGGTGAGAGTCCTAAGCACTGTGCCACCGTCTGTTCTGAGTGAAACCCAGGCTTTCAGCAGCACATCTTCATTTCATTCTACTCTCTGTAGCCTTCTCAAACTGGCTCCACAATCGCTTACGAATTTCATTGCTTCCTTTTAAATAATTTTAAAAGGGTTATTATGAATGCCTATCCATCTTTTATTATTATTTATTAGATTGGTGAATGGGGGAATTTTTGTTGTCATTTAACCTTGAAACGACTTCGACCAGCTGGTTCAACTGTTAGAAAAATACCCTATCCAATGCCAGGTTGGTTTCTCACGCGTATGTTCAACTTGGTGGCATGTCCTAACTACACCTATGAAGTCCTGTCATGGATTGGTTTTACAATAATGACACAAACTCTACCGGGTAAGTTTTTATTTTTATTACATGTATATATGTATATATTAGGGTTCCCTTGGGGTTTCGAGTGGTACCTCTAGGCCTTCAGCAGCACATCTTCACTTTGTTCTATTTTCTGCTGTTCTCTTTAGCTCCGCGCACGATTGACCATAGTCTCTCATCTCCTCCTCTCATGATCCCCTCCATGTCACTATCGGATGATCCACTGGTCGTTCCCCATTCGAGTTCCACTCGAGAGCGATAGCCTGGCTGGAGATATCATTCGACGATCTCTTCCTCGTGTATCCATTTCATCCATCTCCAATTTCTTCTGCATATTTCTTGAGCAAAAGGTTCTTGTGATTGGTTTTATTCCGATAGTTTCTTGTTGCTAATTCCTTCTGGCTGGCTGGCTGATCATTTGATCTTTAATATGGAGTCAGCAAAGTGAGTAGTAGCGGGATCTGGAATTCACCTTAAAGGACATGGCAGGAAAGTTCAAGAGCCAAGGAGAAATCATATTGCTGTTGAGTACTAGTTCTCACATCGAGTCATAAACTCTTGCAACCGACTCAGATTCAGATTTATTGGTTGACGATAGAAGGCTTGCAGCCTATGTTAATCCTTTCCTAGTAGATTTCTGTGGTTGTCCAAACCCTTCTTGAACGAATCAGTTGAGGTTGCAGACACCACTTCTCAGGGATTGACTTGCTACCGGGGAATAATCTCATCGACTTGGAATATGCAGACGATATAGTCCTTCTAAGCGAAGACGCTGATGAAATGTAGAGTCTTCTAAACACCTTGAGCAGCAATCTACGAATGTTTGGCATGCGATTCGCTCCCGCCAATGCAAGATGATGTTACAGGACAGGACTATATCGACGCCTAGTTTAAAAATAGGAAGTGAAATGGTAGAGCACGTTGACCGCTTCACTTATTTGGGAAGTACCATCAGCCAGTGCCAACGGGCTGATCTCTGACGAAATCTCAGCACGAATACAAGGGGCTCGTTTCGCATTTGTTAGTTTACGCCGACTCTGGCGTAGACGAGATGTTCGACTATCGACCAAAGGGCGGGTGTACTGCTCATCAGTCCGCTCCGTCCTCCTTTATGGATGGCCGTGAGACCTGGCCACTGAGAGTGGAAGACATGAAAAGACTAGCTGCCTTTGATCATAGGTGCCTGCGTTCTATTTCCCGTGTAAAGTGGCATAATAAGGTGAGCAACATGGAGGTTAGGCGTAGAGTTCTAGGTAAACAGGGGAAATCAATCGACGAAGTCGTGAAGCTACAAAGACTGAGATGGTTAGGACATGTGTTACGTATGCCAAGTCATCGCCTTCCTCGACGAGCAATGTTAGCGGATATAGGGTCAGGCTGGAAAAAAGAGCACGTTGACCGCTTCACTTATTTGGGAAGTACCATCAGCCAGTGCCAACGGGCTGATCTCTGACGAAATCTCAGCACGAATACAAGGGGCTCGTTTCGCATTTGTTAGTTTACGCCGACTCTGGCGTAGACGAGATGTTCGACTATCGACCAAAGGGCGGGTGTACTGCTCATCAGTCCGCTCCGTCCTCCTTTATGGATGGTGAGACCTGGCCACTGAGAGTGGAAGACATGAAAAGACTAGCTGCCTTTGATCATAGGTGCCTGCGTTCTATTTCCCGTGTAAAGTGGCATAATAAGGTGAGCAACATGGAGGTTAGGCGTAGAGTTCTAGGTAAACAGGGGAAATCAATCGACGAAGTCGTGAAGCTACAAAGACTGAGATGGTTAGGACATGTGTTACGTATGCCAAGTCATCGCCTCCCTCGACGAGCTATGTTAGAGGATATAGGGTCAGGCTGGAGAAAAGCTAGCGGCGGTCAAACAAAAACTTGGCATCAGTCAATGAAATCCACAACAGTTGGTCTAAGCCACGTAGGAAGGTGTAGACTTCCAGGCTGGGGTCCTCGGGACGGCAAAAATCTATGGTTGGAAACAATTGGTGACATGGCTCAAAATCGTTCTCAGTGGTGCAGATGCATCCACTCCCTGTGACTTATGATCTCCAATGAAACTGTTTTGTTCTTCGTTATTACTCCTCCTTTGTCTCACCCGTCTGCTCACTGTCTCTATTATGCTTTTCTTGTACTTTCTTCTCTTGCTTCACGTGCTACACGGAATGTGGCGACTTGAACTTCCGCACATTTGTGCAAAGTTCTATGTCGAAAACAGACAGACAGACAGCTAGCAGGGAGATTTTGGGCAAAGTTTACTTGAAATGACCTCCTGCCACTCTTGACTTGTGTCGCATCTATTCATCATTATTATTATATTCATTCCTATCTATGCAGTACACGCCAGTTGTACAGGTATGGCTACGTAGGTTCCACGTAGGCATCGTGATCAGTCTGACTCTAGGAGAGTCACCAAGTAGACTAAGCCCTCTGCTTTGATTGCAGAATATGCTGAGTCCCTGTCTTCAACCACGACGATGGTTTCCTAGGCATCCGAGATTGTTGTGTGGATAATCCCTTTTGTCAATTCCTAATATCAAGGAAATCTAGGGAAAACTCCTAGCAAACTTTTCTGCGTCTCAAATGGACTATAAGCTCCTGGACTTATGTTTGGGGTCATTAGGGAGGAATTGTAAGAACGGTAGAAAAGGAATATGAAAACATTTCGGTTTTCACGATAAAAATGTGTTCTTCGTCGTTTTGTAGAGTGTGAGGAAGTCAAAATTAGGGAATAAATCCAGGCGAACCGTTTCCATGGTATCCTAGTCCACTCGTCAAATCATCCACAGTAATTTATATCCCTAAACCTACACCTCTCGACTTAAGTTGGCTGTCTATAGCAAGAATTTTGATGACCTTCATCAGTATTGAAGTACGTAGGTGCATGCATTTTAATGTAAATTTATATGTTTATATGAAAAAATAAATTATTATTATTAAATGGAAACATAACTGACATCCATTCGGAAATTTTACTAGAATCCGATAACTGACGGAATTTAACGCAAACATAGAGGGTCAATGGCCCACAGGAATTACCCCAGAGAAGGCAGTCAGTACAGAAGACGTTCAATAGACAGTTTTGTGTACTTGTGCAGAAATCCATCACCATATTAAAGCTGGTGAAATGGACGCCAAATATTTGCGATACAGTCATGAGAATAACTCTTCGTATCTTTCAAAAATTTGTTCGTGATAATCATAATTCATGCTTTTGAAATCGAATCATGTAAGTTGTAGACATGGATTCTCACACTTGATGCACTTTTGTATCATTGTTGTTTAGCTAAGGCACATATCACATCAAATATCTTCGAGCGGTCGGTTGGTTGGTTGGTTTTGGTTTGAGTTTTACCGATGGAAGAGTCTCCTGCCTATTCAAGTACGTCGAAAGGCTTTAACAAACGGGCTGTCAGGGAGCTAGACTTAGAAACACCACACATCCCACTGGCTGGAAGTGGTATCAAGAAAAAGAAGACAGTGACCGTGCCAGATCTTTTCAACAGTTGAGGTAAGTACTTACAATATCATATCACTGATTCAGATTTATTGGTTGGAGCCTATGTTAATCCTCTTCTAGTAGATTTCTGTGGTTGTCCAAACCCTTCTTGAACGAATCAGTTGAGGTTTCAGACACCACTTCTTTTCCGCTACCGCGTGAACTTTGAAAAGGGAGTCCTCCTTTATGGTTGTGAGACCTGGCCACTGAGAGTGGAAGACACGAAAAGACTACCTGTCTTTGATCATAGGTGCCTGCGTTCTATTTCCCGTGTAAAGTGGCATAATAAGGTGAGCAACATGGAGGTTAGGCGTAGAGTTCTAGGTAAACAGGGGAAATCAATCGACGAAGTCGTGAAGCTACAAAGACTGAGATGGTTAGGACATGTGTTACGTATGCCAAGTCATCGCCTCCCTCGACGAGCAATGTTAGCGGATATAGGGTCAGGCTGGAAAAAAGCTAGCGGCGGTCAAACAAAAACTTGGCATCAGTCAATGAAATCCACAACAGTTGGTCTTAGCCACGTAGGAAGGTGTAGACTCCCAGGCTGGGGTCCTCGGGACGGTAAAAACAAATGGTTGGAAACAATTGGTGACATGGCTCAAAATCGTTCTCAGTGGCGCAGATGCATCCACTCCCTGTGACTTATGATCTTCAATGAAATTGTTTTGTATTTCTTTATTACTCCTTTTCTCACACCTCTCCTCACTGTTTCTATTATGCTTTTCTTGTACTTTCTTCTCTTGCTTCGCGTGCTACACGGAATGTGGCGACTTGAATTTCCGCACATTTGTGCAAGTTCTATGTCGAAAACAGACAGACAGAAGCAGGCTTAGTGGTTTGCCTCTGCCTACTCGACTAACTGATACTATTGTTTAGTTGCAGTATTTCATCATAAGCTGACATCGGTTAGAGAACCAGTGGAAAACCTGGGAGTACTGGACAGCTGTTTTGTCCTATCTTGGGTCTCTTCATCAGTTCGCACTCACTGGGCTCGAACCCAGGACCTTCCGCTTACAAAGCGAGCTTGTGCGCCAATAAGCCACTTGGATCCGATCGAGTGGCCCATGAATTCGAACTTCTGCCATTCCACGACGTGTGTTTTAACCCCGGTGAGTGCATACCCATGAAGAGTCCCGAATTGGGACGAAACGGCTGTCCAGTACTCTCAGGTTTTCCAATAGTTCTCTAATCGATGTCAGCTTATGATTAAATCCTGTAACCGATCAATCAAGTCCCTACAAACCAATACTTGAGTGACACTATTGTTGCTAGACGCTTAAATTTGTGTAAGTCCGTTGCCTATGCTCATCTTGTCGGAGACTGAACGGCCTTTTTCATTCACAACTTTCTCTTTGTATATCTGGAAGTAAAACTAGAAGTAATTTCATTAGAAATTATGCTCATATAGTTAAATATAAAAATTCAACCGCACCTGATTTAGAATGGATATTGTGTGGTGGGACGAATTTTGGAAAACAGCCAATAAACTCACTATTAATATTCATTTTTGTTTTATTTTTGATTACAGCTTGATTCCACACTGTATTGTTGGTACAAGTATGGAATTTTCAGCATGGATATCGGTAGCCCAAATTTTGCAGGTAGACCATAGATATCAGGTGTGCGTCGACAGGGGATCGAACCTCGGACCATGTGCATGGTCGGTGAGAGTCCTAAGCACTGTGCCACCGTCTGTTCTGAGTGAAACCCAGGCTTTCAGCAGCACATCTTCATTTCATTCTACTCTCTGTAGCCTTCTCAAACTGGCTCCACAATCGCTTACGAATTTCATTGCTTCCTTTTAAATAATTTTAAAAGGGTTATTATGAATGCCTATCCATCTTTTATTATTATTTATTAGATTGGTGAATGGGGGAATTTTTGTTGTCATTTAACCTTGAAACGACTTCGACCAGCTGGTTCAACTGTTAGAAAAATACCCTATCCAATGCCAGGTTGGTTTCTCACGCGTATGTTCAACTTGGTGGCATGTCCTAACTACACCTATGAAGTCCTGTCATGGATTGGTTTTACAATAATGACACAAACTCTACCGGGTAAGTTTTTATTTTTATTATTATATGTATATATTATGGTTCCCTTGGGGTTTCGAGTGGTACCTCTAGGCCTTCAGCAGCACATCTTCACTTTGTTCTATTTTCTGCTGTTCTCTTTAGCTCCGCGCACGATTGACCATAGTCTCTCATCTCCTCCTCTCATGATCCCCTCCATGTCACTATCGGATGATCCACTGGTCGTTCCCCATTCGAGTTCCACTCGAGAGCGATAGCCTGGCTGGAGATATCATTCGACGATCTCTTCCTCGTGTATCCATTTCATCCATCTCCAATTTCTTCTGCATATTTCTTGAGCAAAAGGTTCTTGTGATTGGTTTTATTCCGATAGTTTCTTGTTGCTAATTCCTTCTGGCTGGCTGGCTGATCATTTGATCTTTAATATGGAGTCAGCAAAGTGAGTAGTAGCGGGATCTGGAATTCACCTTAAAGGACATGGCAGGAAAGTTCAAGAGCCAAGGAGAAATCATATTGCTGTTGAGTACTAGTTCTCACATCGAGTCATAAACTCTTGCAACCGACTCAGATTCAGATTTATTGGTTGACGATAGAAGGCTTGCAGCCTATGTTAATCCTTTCCTAGTAGATTTCTGTGGTTGTCCAAACCCTTCTTGAACGAATCAGTTGAGGTTGCAGACACCACTTCTTCTGGGAGTCGGTTCCAAGAGTTTATGACTCCCAGAAGAAGTGGTGTCTGCAACCTCAACTGATTCGTTCAAGAAGGGTTTGGACAACCACAGAAATCTACTAGGAAAGGATTAACATAGGCTGCAAGCCTTCTATCGTCAACCAATAAATCTGAATCTGAGTCGGTTGCAAGAGTTTATGACTCGATGTGAGAACTAGTACTCAACAGCAATATGATTTCTCCTTGGCTCTTGAACTTTCCTGCCATGTCCTTTAAGGTGTTCCGACCTGGTGGGAAGGAAAAGAGAGAATAGGTCAGGTCCGTAGTCATTATTTAAAATTTTAAACATTGTGATTAAATCTCCTCTCTGCCTACGGTATGACAGGGAGAAGAGATTTAAACTATCTAGTCTTTCCTCATATGATAAGTTAGCTATGCCGTGAACCATACGTGTTGCCTTCCTTTGAACACTTTCTAGAATGTGTGAATCCCCTTTTAGACAAGGACTGGCGGCCTGGATGCAGTTTTCCAGTCTTGACCTAACCAGAGATGTGTATAAGGAGGTGAACATATCTCTGGTAATTCTTGTAAAGGCTCTGCGAATCGCCCATAAGGACCTGAAACTACGTGCAGCCACCGCGCGACAGTGTGCTGTAGTTTTTAAGTCGTGGCTAACTATGACACCTAAGTCCAAGTGAGTCTGAACTGATGGAAGTGTTATTCCCTCTAATTCGTAGGGGCTTGTGCTTGATTGTCCAATGCGCATGGTTGCACATTTTGCCACATTGATCGGGAGCATCCATTCAACAGACCACTCTGACAATTTGTTGAGGTCCTCTTGCAACGTGAACGTATCACTGTTGCTCTTCAGCTCTCTCCAAATTTTTAAGTCATCTGCGTATAGGACCATAGGGGAGTCGGTGAGCAGAGGTAACTCATTGATATACAGAATAAAAAGGAGAGGACCGAGAACCGTGCCTTGTGGCACTCCGCTACTTACTGCTGTCCAGGAGGAGAGTTTTGAGTTGATCCTAACCCTCTGCCTCCTATCTATGAGGAATTCCCTGAGCCAGTCTAGTAGTCTGCCTTTGATACCAAGACTTTCCAATTTCATGAGTAGTCTTTTGTGAGGTACTTTATCAAAGGCTTTACTGAAGTCTATGAAGACGACGTCAACGGGTCTTCTGTTGTCCTTTGATTTGACCCAGCTTTCTCTTGCAGTGAGCAGATTTGACAGGCATGAGAGGTTCTTACGGAAGCCATGCTGTGCTCCAGATAACAAGCTGCTATTTTCCAGATAAGCCATGATGCTTTTCTTGATAATTCTTTCCAGTGTCTTGATTAAAGTGCTGGTGAGACTGATAGGCCTATGATTTGAAGGGCTTTGTCTTGATCCTCCTTTGTGGATGGGGGTTACTATGGCGTCTTTCCAATCACGTGGCAACACTCCATTTAGGAGGGATAGCTTGAAGATCGTGGTCAAGGGGCCGGCTATGTGGGCTGATAGCTCCTTGAGAAGCCTTGGATGAAGATTATCAGGACCCATTGATTTCCCTGCATCTAGTTTCATTAAGAAGTTGAGCACGATGCCTTGGTCGATGTCAACGGAACCTATCCTATGTTCTTCTGATGCAGCCAGAGCTGATCTTATAGGCAGTGATGACTCCTGAGTGAAGACTTGGGAGAAGTAGTTTGCCATTGCTTCTGCTTTTTCTTGATCTTCTTCGATTGTATCTTTGTCAATAATCAGGTTTAGGACACCATTGGATGTTTTATTCCTGAAAATTTTCTTAGGTTGTGTCTTTGCATTTTGAGCCAGATGTGTCTCGAACTTCATCCTTGATTGTTGGATGGTAGCACTTGACACTTATTTCCCTCCATATCGCTTTGTTAACTGTTGAAAATGTTGTGGTGAGTCATTGATATGTACGTTGGTTAGCATTTGAGTATATGGACGAACGATATCCCTGTTAATCAGTCTTGCCAGCATTATTCAGGCATTCTCTAAACACCACAACTTTCATTGTCTTGACCGACTGAAAGCCTGCTTTACCACGGTATGTATAGTTAAGTTTGTGGACATTGTTTGGTCATGTCATTCAAATTCAATCAGGAGGTTCCGGGGCTGAGGAATAAGTGCAGTAATCGACATCTAATGTTGACTATCGTCCTTAGGATTACATACCCCTATATGTATCCCATGCCCGACGGAAAGCTGCTACGTTGACGTGGTGGTCGGGCTTGAACACCGCAATGACCTAATCAAGCTATACTGGCTGAGACTTATGTCTCTTGAGGTTCTACCATGCCAGGCAGGTTGTTTGGATAGCGGTTAAACAAAAAGCAGCTACCCAATCCAACATCATGATCAATACAAAATCACAAAATTTCATGCCGGATCGGCCGTGGCCCGGATTAACAACGACCGCGCTTCCTGCTGCCGTGTCACAGGGCAGGAGTGATAAGTATGCTACTGAGACACACCAAACAAAAGAGAACAAACAAAAACAGGCCGCGTGTGACCGGCCTCAAGCAGTTGTCCTCTGGGCTCTGCGGTCACGCAACCAACTTCCACGGTGTGGGTAACCGGGAAGTAACAAACGCCCTCACAATCCGAAATGCACACAATCCATTGATATTTTCCTACTTCATAGTAATCAGTGTAAATTCCTAAAAGAATTCACACTGAAGTTAACAGTGCTGTGTTCTTGTTGGAGATCATTGCACTTGACATGGCCTAAGAACTCGTTACTGTGGTCTAATCAACTAATTTTTATAACCTAGCGGTTCGTTCTTATGAAACAGTCACTTTCGGTTGTTGGGTTAGACAAGAAAGATTAGTTTTATGTGGTGAGAGAATTCAGGGGACAATCGTTGGAAGTTGTGCGTTCCCGTCCTAGGAAGAAACTTCACTAAGGCAGTTTGCGATGGGGAGATATATTTATGACTGACGTTTCCTATCCGTATGCATCCAGAGGAGGACGGTAGTATGACTGGCTAGTTGTTTGAGGGAAACCCTTTACTGTTGCTACATTTGTATAAACTGGCAACATGACCCTACCGTCACATCGCCAGTCAGTGGTAGTTCATCCGGTGAGTGTATCGTCGAGAGTGTGGATCTTATCGGCGCTCCTGGTTTGTGTATTCTAACGCGTCCGTATGGTTTTGGGATTGGTGACCCAATGGGCTTGATATTTCTGTATGTAGAAAACAAAAAGATTGAGCGTAGAAATGTTTACTTTTCAATTAGATCCTCATCTTTGGCTCTACTCTAATATATGTTTAGCATTTTAATTACAATACAACAGTTTGCCAATCAAGAGGCGATAAGTATGTTAACAGTAATTAAACAGTGTCAATGGGTTAATAGTTAACGAAGAAAATCAATACAGATTTAAAAGGTGGAAATGGATAGAATAAATTAATTTTACAAGAATAACACGTAAATTAAAGTGGTCAAAATAAATAATAGACAAATATAATTTTATAGGTTTAGGGTGAGGGGGGCGTCGCAGTCCTGTTTATCCATTCTTGTGACGATGGCCACGGTAGGGAATGTGGCTGTACAGATTTTTCTGTACACATAGGCTTGGCTTCTTCAGATGAATGCCAATCGCCTCAGCCGTCTGTAGAAGACGAACTGGCAGAGCAAAATTAAGATATGTCGGAATGCGATAAATAATTTTAAATGCTGTATTAACATCAATCTTATGCTCAGTATCAACGAGGTGGGCTAAATGGGGATTTCTTTATTTCTATATGTGTTTTCACCAATGTATTTCTTTTTGAAGAGTTGCCGTGGATGCTGCACAATTTTCCTTTCGGTCGACAACGTTTGATCTTTTGCATGATTATCCAATTTGAATTTAGATTCATCAGAGACAATTTGATGCATTTTTTTCGAGATAATCTATCTTATTCACTAGCACTACGCTTTGTCCTTTATCAGCTTGTAAAATAACAAGATTTTTGTCTTTTCGGAGTTTGTTTAATGATCTCCAGTGTTCTTTGGTGATATGCAACTTTTGATTGGTCGACATGCTGCGAAATTGATGAGCAATATCAACCATCTTTGATTTCAACCAACCTTCGCTGCCGTTGGATGTAGCATGTAGCCCCATAAGTTGGTCATAAAGATTTTCGAATTGGCATTCGATGTCAATTTGCTTTTTTCATCTTTTTCATGGGAACACAGAAGTTGAATACTAATGACAGAATTTCTGCTTGTTCTTTTGATAGGGAAACATCAGATAAATTATGAACATAATTAGATAGATCCACTGGGAAAATTTCATTCGACGGTTCTGGATGAAGTGACCCCTTCAGTTTCTTTTCTTCTGATTCTTTTGTCTTTTTAGAAGTGGCATGCAGATATTTAGTGAATTTATGATAACATAAGAAGTCTAAGTCATTTTGCAAATTCTTGCGTTAAAGATCATTTGAGGCCTACACGGCCAAATCTTTACCGTTTTGCTGAATCACATTTGTTTTCTGAAACAGATGAAATCAGTAATTTATGCGTATTATCAAGCAAACTGATCAGTGTGCAAAATGACAAGTTTTACCGAAATTTGATGAATCCATCATTAAATCATCCTGCTTTATAAACCTTTATTGCATGTTTTATAAATCCAGTGGGACGTAAGACACAACAGACCACTAAATGTAGTAGAAATACCTAGTACAGAATAACTGAATCACACAGACACTCATTTTCTTCATTGAATTACTGCAAGTGAGGAAGAATTAAATTCCTCTGAAGAATGAAAGTTTTGATTACTGGTAGTCTTTGTTAACTAAAATGAAGTGATCGCTGAGTTAGCGATGTGTGAAAGTGACCACAAGTTGACGTGTCAAAGTTTCCATTCACAGCGGTCAGTATTCTACATATCATATATACATTCAATGTTGGGGATTGATTGTCTTTTGTGTTTTGTCGGTTTCTGGTACATATTTTTAGAGCCTTTTTTAAATTCCTTGAAATCCAAATGTTACCTAATGCTTCAGTGCTTTGAAATTTTGGGAAAGATGTTGGCATTATGAAGTGGTAGTCACAAGCCTCACTCCTAAGCTCCCACCTTTTTTGAACAAACTACCGATTGGGCGACGTATAGAAGTGAGCATCGCATTCAGGAGGCCAATTAGTTACTAATGTGTATTTTTTTTTATTACAGCTTGATTCCACACTGTATTTTTGGTACAGGTATGGAATTTTCAGCATGGATATCGGTAGCCCAAATTTTGCAGGCCGACCATAGATATCAGGTGTGCGTCGGCGTGGGCTCGAACCCTGGACCATGTGCATGGTTGGCGAGAGTCCTAACCACTGTGCCACCACTGTGGCAATGCCCTTTTACTGTTTTCGTTTTCTGTCAAACCATTGGTTGGTCAGGGTTGAGGGATTAGTTTTGAGAGATCATACACTTCAGGGGACAATTGCTCATAGATGGTTACTGGATTTCTGTCTTGATATTAATGGAAGTGTAGTGTGGTATAACTGGGTTGCCAGTTGTTCGTTCCAGGTGAAACCCTTTCTGGCTTATTGTGGACTAGGGGAGGTGAAGAAGTTTGATGGCACCTAACAGTTCTTTATAAGTTAAATATGAAGTGTCGTTGGTTTTCCAGGAGGCATCACAATACTTGTTTCTGCTTTGATAGGTCAGTCCAACCACAATGTATGTATAGGCTTTGTACTTTAACGGAAACCTACTTTCGTATAAGCTGACCAGTGCCATTGTTACGATCTATCAGTGAGCTGATTTCCGTAGTGATCGTAGTGAATGTTGTGTTTTGATTATCCTTCCAGCCTATCAAATCGATCGTTGCCTGTTGATCTCGATTCGAATGCCAGTTCATCCCGTCGTTTTGTAATGCAATAGAAACCAATATAATGCCACTAAACAAGTTTCTTTCTCTTCTTTTTCAGAAAGAAACGTTGACGTGGCATCACTAGAACAAGAGGAAGATCGGTTATCTAAACTTGTTATACACGACGATAACTAGCTGGTAACCCGGTCAACTCAAGTCTCTCGAAAAATACCCGTTTCTTCATACGTAAAAACACAGATTTTCTCGTATGGTAACATTGGTGTTTGAATCTCGACTGGAAGACGGAGTTCATGTCCGAACAATAGCAGGGCTGGGGAAAAACCCGTAGATGAATGCATGGAAGAGCGGTATGCTAGCAAACACTGGGGCAGGACATCATCCCAGGTATTCTCCGGTGCGTTGCATAAGAAGGCACGGATGAGGTTCTTAGTAGTTCTGTTGGTACGTTCGACGAGTCCATTACCTTGTGGGTGGTATGGCGTAGTATGGGTCTTCCGGATACCAAAGGTATTGCAGATGTGAGCGAGAAGATGACTCTCGAATGCAGCGCCCTGGTCAGAGTGTAGATAAAGAGGGGCACCAAAGCGGGACACCCAATTGTCTGTGAACGCGCGGCCAATCGTCAAGGCATCTTGTTGTTGCAAGGGGACGGCTTCGCACCACTTTGTGAAGTAATCGACCATGACAAGTATGTATCGATTGCCGCGTCTCGACGTTGTTATTGGCCCCATTACGTCTACCCCAACTCGGTGATTAGGCGCCTCGGTAAGCATCGGTACTAACGGTGCTCGGGGGGATGCTTTGGGCTGTTTAATCTGCGCACACGTAGCACAGTTGCGGCAAAATTCAGTCACGTCGTGGTGAAGAAGTGGCCACCAAAAGCGTTGACGGACGGCGTGCTCGGTTTTTCGTTGGCCAGCGTGACCCAGTTGCTGGTGTACAAGATGTATTACCTCCGGAACTTTCAAACGTGGCACGAGAAGGCGAGGCGACGATGGCGGTTCGACTATATACAAAACGTTATCAATCAGGCGTAGTATCCCCCACTTACCGCAGATGCATTTGGTTGCATCAGACAGACTCTGTAGTTCTGTATTCGACGGTTTATCGTTCCCGTGAAGCTGTCGGGAGTAGACAAGTTGAATATCGGCGTCAGCCGCCTGCAGTGCTGCCCAATCAACATCTAGACCTGTATTTAATATAGCATTCACCGGGGAAACATCAGACGGGAAAGGGCATCAGCGTTAGCGTGGCGGGGTCCAGGGCGGTACTCACAGGTAAAATCAAACTCCTGCAACCGTTCCTGCCAGTGAGCAGCCTGGCCTTCGGGTTCGCGAAAGGTTTGCAGCCACTGCAGGGCACGATGGTCAGTGCGTGCTCGAAATGGGCGCCCAAGAAGATAATGACGGAAGTATTTGAGAAAATGAACGAGGGCCAGCATCTCTCGGCGTGTCGTGGAGTACCGGGTTTCACGTTTGTCAAGCTTACGGCTGGCATATGCAATAACCCGTTCTCGACCATCGGGCGCCACTTGGGAAGAGCATCTTCAGGGTAGTTTGCCATGTCTCTGCGTAGAGAAAACACCTCCGACACCAATATAACAAACGCAGACCACAATCACGACTGACGAAGGAAGAAGGCAAAGACGGCGAGGAAGAGACGTTTATTTCAAGCAAGCGAGACTTGAATTCATAAGTAAAAACACAGTTTTTGTTCAGCGAAGAAATTTCTTTTCAACGACTTTATTTTCAAGCTGTACAGTCGTATTTATATTACAGAAAAAGGTTATTAAGTGGCACTAAATAATTGCTCAGTCAATGTACGGATATATGTGATAAAAGTTATAAGGGCTAGAGTTGAAGTGGATAAATTAAAAAAATGTTAAAGATTGTTTTATAACAAAAATGTCAAGTGTTGTCTAAAAATTTTGAAAATTAGGAGTACGATTACGATAAGAATGAAGCTGTGAAGTGAAGTGGAAAGAATTCAAGTGGTAAAATAAAATAAAAAACTACGAAGAACATTATTATGACCAAGGTAAAGAAAGGGGTTTGACAAAACGCTTTTGAACACATAATTTAGGTTTCTGTTCATGTATAGCTAAGGCTTCGGCTAGCTATGCATAAGTGAAGAAAACGTAAACTTTTGGATCGATTCGATTTTGACATGTAGATAACTTTGAAAGATGAATCACGTGGGGCTAAATGACCAGATTCTAACAGGTGATCACAAATAGACGACTTTGCACTTCTACGTTCGCCTTTCATTAACCAAACCGGATAGTGTTCAGCTACACGTTTTCGGAGATTACGCTTACAACGTCCAATATAAACAGCTCCACAAGAGCAGGTAAAAGAGTAAATGCACATAGATGTGGACACAAGCGGTAATCTATCCTTGACGCCTTGTCTAATCATATTTCGGCTGGTAAAAACTAGTTGCAGGTCAGCTACAGGAAAAGTGCATTTAATACGTTTAGATAAACGATTTTTAATCAATTCTGAAATGGTGTCACCTTTGAATGCCGGACTCATAAACAGCTTTTTCTTCGGAACTGTGATTTGCCTAGGGGAAGATTCTTTCTTGATGTTACGTTGAATGAACCTTGTGGGATAACCATTGTTAAGGAGATCTGATCGAAGGTTATCTAGTTCCCTATCGATTATCTGTGCAGAGCAGATTTTACGAATTCTGGAGCATAAGGAATGAATGAGATTTCACTTTCTCCCTAAAGGTACTCAACTGTTGAAGTTAATGTACTACCCAGTGAATGTTGACTTTCGGTAAATCGACCTTAACAGCGTTCCTTTCTCTCTTCTATCCAGCTTAACATCAAGGAAGTGAAACGAAGAATCCGACTCTTCTTCGATCGTGAAAAGCTAGATAGAAGAGAGAAAGGAACGCTGTTAAGGTCGTTTTACCGAAAGTCAACATTCACTGGGCAGTACATTAACTTCAACAGTTGAGTACCTTTAGGGAGAAAGTGAAATCTCATTCATTCCTTATGCTCCAGAATTCGTAAAATCTGCTCTGCACAGATAATCGATAGGGAACTAGATAACCTTCGATCAGATCTCCTTAACAATGGTTATCCCACAAGGTTCATTCAACGTAACATCAAGAAAGAATCTTCCCCTAGGCAAATCACAGTTCCGAAGAAAAAGCTGTTTATGAGTCCGGCATTCAAAGGTGACACCATTTCAGAATTGATTAAAAATCGTTTATCTAAACGTATTAAATGCACTTTTCCTGTAGCTGACCTGCAACTAGTTTTTACCAGCCGAAATATGATTAGACAAGGCGTCAAGGATAGATTACCGCTTGTGTCCACATCTATGTGCATTTACTCTTTTACCTGCTCTTGTGGAGCTGTTTATATTGGACGTTGTAAGCGTAATCTCCGAAAACGTGTAGCTGAACACTATCCGGTTTGGTTAATGAAAGGCGAACGTAGAAGTGCAAAGTCGTCTATTTGTGATCACCTGTTAGAATCTGGTCATTTAGCCCCACGTGATTCATCTTTCAAAGTTATCTACATGTCAAAATCGAATCGATCCAAAAGTTTACGTTTTCTTCACTTATGCATAGCTAGCCGAAGCCTTAGCTATACATGAACAGAAACCTAAATTATGTGTTCAAAAGCGTTTTGTCAAACCCCTTTCTTTACCTTGGTCATAATAATGTTCTTCGTAGTTTTTTATTTTATTTTACCACTTGAATTCTTTCCACTTCCCTTCACAGCTTCATTCTTATCGTAATCGTACTCCTAATTTTCAAAATTTTTAGACAACACTTGACATTTTTGTTATAAAACAATCTTTAACATTTTTTTAATTTATCCACTTCAACTCTAGCCCTTATAACTTTTATCACATATATCCGTACATTGACTGAGCAATTATTTAGTGCCACTTAATAACCTTTTTCTGTAATATAAATACGACTGTACAGCTTGAAAATAAAGTCGTTGAAAAGAAATTTCTTCGCTGAACAAAAACTGTGTTTTTACTTATGAATTAAAGTCTCGCTTGCTTGAAATAAACGTCTCTTCCTCGCCGTCTTTGCCTTCTTCCTTCGTCAGTCGTGATTGTGGTCTGCGTTTGTTATATTGGTGTCGGAGGTGTTTTCTCTACGCAGAGACATGGCAAACTACCCTGAAGATGCTCTTCCCAAGTGGCGCCCGATGGTCGAGAACGGGTTATTGCATATGCCAGCCGTAAGCTTGACAAACGTGAAACCCGGTACTCCACGACACGCCGAGAGATGCTGGCCCTCGTTCATTTTCTCAAATACTTCCGTCATTATCTTCTTGGGCGCCCATTTCGAGCACGCACTGACCATCGTGCCCTGCAGTGGCTGCAAACCTTTCGCGAACCCGAAGGCCAGGCTGCTCACTGGCAGGAACGGTTGCAGGAGTTTGATTTTACCTGTGAGTACCGCCCTGGACCCCGCCACGCTAACGCTGATGCCCTTTCCCGTCTGCCGTTTCCCCGGTGAATGCTATATTAAATACAGGTCTAGATGTTGATTGGGCAGCACTGCAGGCGGCTGACGCCGATATTCGACTTGTCTACTCCCGACAGCTTCACGGGAACGATAAACCGTCGAATACAGAACTACAGAGTCTGTCTGATGCAACCAAATGCATCTGCGGTAAGTGGGGGATACTACGCCTGATTGATAACGTTTTGTATATAGTCGAACCGCCATCGTCGCCTCGCCTTCTCGTGCCACGTTTGAAAGTTCCGGAGGTAATACATCTTGTACACCAGCAATTGGGTCACGCTGGCCAACGAAAAACCGAGCACGCCGTCCGTCAACGCTTTTGGTGGCCACTTCTTCACCACGACGTGACTGAATTTTGCCGCAACTGTGCTACGTGTGCGCAGATTAAACAGCCCAAAGCATCCCCCCGAGCACCGTTAGTACCGATGCTTACCGAGGCGCCTAATCACCGAGTTGGGGTAGACGTAATGGGGCCAATAACAACGTCGAGACGCGGCAATCGATACATACTTGTCATGGTCGATTACTTCACAGAGTGGTGCGAAGCCGTCCCCTTGCAACAACAAGATGCCTTGACGATTGGCCGCGCGTTCACAGACAATTGGGTGTCCCGCTTTGGTGCCCCTCTTTATCTACACTCTGACCAGGGCGCTGCATTCGAGAGTCATCTTCTCGCTCACATCTGCAATACCTTTGGTATCCGGAAGACCCATACTACGCCATACTACCCACAAGGTAATGGGCTCGTCGAACGTACCAACAGAACTACTAAGAACCTCATCCGTGCCTTCTTATGCAACGCACCGGAGAATACCTGGGATGATGTCCTGCCCCAGTGTTTGCTAGCATACCGCTCTTCCATGCATTCATCTACGGGT